TTTATGTGAGCTTCTCACTCATCATGGGCCAATGGTAGCAAACATATGAACCTAGCCATCACACAGCAGAGCATATGACGGTCTGACTTCTGAGCCTTGTCTATCACACAGTAAGACATTTGCTCATTGGACACATACAATCAGATGGCATTGGTGCCATTGGAAATGGAACTCTTTGCTTGCTGTTGAAGATGGGAACGGAGCACTTATGGTAGTGTCCCAAGTGCTGTAATATTGATTCTTTATTCAACATCATTGGACATCTAAATCTTTGCTGTTATGTCCTGGGGCACTTGACTGATGGATATTTGAGCCAAACTAGTAGTTCAGTACTACTCTGGGTTGACAGACATCTGAACCAAAGTTTGTCATTTAGTAGGATATTTTGCCAGTGGGCTTCACTCATGATCTAAATAAGTCTTTGATGGATGTTGTCACCCATGCATCTTGGTTTGGGCAGGAGACTTGTGTAACAACCAGCATAAAGCCTGCTATGGCTGAGGTGAAGTTCATAGTATCTCCTAATACAAATCACATTAGTCTAACATTTCCATCATGTCAATGACCAAAATAACCGTGATACACACATCTTATATGACAGTGTTGGTTTTATCAGTAAAATACTTATAATTGTCCCTGATGTGTGTATGTGTCTGATTAGTGGAGATGTTTTGGATATCCGTATATCTTTGAATATCAAATCCCATGCTGTACAAAACATCTGGAAATAGGGTATATCCTGCCCTCCAACATCTGCTAAAATCAGGGTATCTCTCTTTAGACCAGGACCACAATATTTGAAACACTGAACAGACCAGTTATTCTATGCAGCTTTGAAACCCAAAGAAGATGACAACTTATTACAAACTTTTGAGAACAGGGTCTTTATGACACATCTTTGGAACCATCCAAAATGCAAACAGTAGAGAATTGAGAGTTAGAGGTAACAATGCAATTTATAATCTATTTAAATCACCTCTAATTACTGGCATCATGGGCCAAACTTTGATGGTTGTTACTTATGGAGACAATTAAAAATAATAGACAAAAACTGCACACTCAGAAGAACTGAATGGGAGTAGACCAAGAGGACTGGAGAGATAATATGCTCCTACATTTTTTTCCATTAAATAGGTCAGGATTGAGTTGAGTTGAGTTAAGAATTGACATCACAGCACTTAGGGCATTCCCGTATGTGCTCTATCCCCATCCTAAGCAGCCAGCACAGAGTTCCAATACTAATGGTGCCAGTCATAGTCTGGTTGTATGTCCGTCTTGCCATTCTTCTGAGCATAGCGTGAACCCTCTGGTAAGTCAGGGTTATATCACTTATTGGCTAATGTTTGGTATTCAGTTATAAAGAGATGAAACCAAATCATGAAAATGCTCCATTAAATGTGAAGAGGTCTAACTTTACCATAAATGCTTAAAGTCACCAAGTGGAAAGAGAAAACTAATCACAGACATGAGTAAAGGAGGGTGATAGTTGTAGAAATGAACCTCATGGTCTCAGAATGTTGAAGAAGAAGAAATTTGTAGCAATTCCAGTATATTACTCTCCTACTTGCATCGTCTGGTAGAGTTGAGTCAAAAATTGACATCACAGCACTCGGGGCATTCCCATGCATGCTCCGTCCTCATTTTCAGCAGCCGGCACAGAGTTACAATACTGATGTCTGTTAATGTAAATGGAACAGATCTGAGTCTAATTTTGTGTTCTATACAAAATATCTTAATTATTTTTTTTAAATACATATTTTCATGCTTTCTGCTTACATAGTTGTTGGCTGCTTCCTCTTCTTACTTTGTATTTCATGCACAGTTTGACTTTAAAACAAACACCAACAATCCCTTTCTCACGACAAGGTTTCTCATCATCAACTGGATTTGGATCGGCAGTTAGGCTGGTCGTGACATCAACTATTGGCCTGTGGACAATCCAGATATTAAGTAATACACTTACGTTTCAACAAATAAGTAAAAAGTAAAGGACCCTTTTCCACGCCTTTAGGTGTACTGGGCATATAGGAGTAGACCTATATTTTGTAGACCAATCAGCACTCAGTGGATGATGTAGTCAAAATCAAGCTGGCCACGTTTACTTACCAGGACTTTACCTGGTACACATTTAAGGTTATGTCAACCTGGGAGTCAAGGTCATTTTTTTAAATGTCTAGCACCATGGAGCCACAATCTTTGGATCCACAGGCAAGTGTCTAGCCGCTATACCAAAGCGACTCCTATGTTCAACAAGTAAGACAGCAGTGACTCTTAACCCTTTTGCTCCAAGAAGCAATGAAAGCAACACTTTAAGCAGGTACAATTTCCCCACAAAAGCAGCTTTCCTGATTCGCTACAGAGACATGTTTACAAGATGTCTAGCTAACAGAATTCCTTGCATTTTCATCTGCAGAAATATTCACAGTGACAGGTGTATATTTACAAAATAAAAACATATTTGGTGAGGTTTTCTTCTAAATTTTTTTTTTTTTGATGGCTGTTTTTATACAAATTTATTTCTGTTCCCATTGGCTACTGTGGTTACCAGGTGACCGGGTTAAGTGAGGGTCATGCTATAATTAGTTTACAGGTTTTTAAGAGATGTAAGCCAGTTGATTCTATTTTGCATTCAATGTTTTTTTTATAGCTTCCCTAGTACTTCTTTTTTAGTTCACCCCATCTCACAGAATACTTAGAGTTTCCTGAAATATTATAAGGGTGTTACGATGTGAAATGAGTACCAAAAAACATTAACCTTAACCCTAAACCCCTCTATAATTTTGGACTTTCCCCAGAACTCTCAGATTAAATGAGATAGAGTAAACTAAAATGAAAATACCACTTACCTTATTCTGCAAAGATTTGTTCATGTTTTGGATTATAAATTACTTTTGTGTAATTTAAAAATGTTTCGGGGGGGGGGGGGGGGGGGGGGGGGGGGGGGGGGGGGGGGGGGGGGGGGGGGGGGGGGGGGGGGTGGGGGGGGGGGGGGGGGCAGCTTTGTTTAAGTTTTTGTTGCGGGGGGGGGGGGGGGGGGTTTTTTTTTCTAAGGATGTTTTTTTTTTAATGGCAACATCCCAAAAATGGAGAGTATTGGAACTAAGCATTGATTTTTTTTCTTGGTCATTAGGGTGTAAGCATACTTATAACAAATATGAATGTTTTTACACACAACTTTATGTGAATAAATTTAAGAGCATTAAGAAGACTTTGGATTTTATAAAAACATTTTTACAAAATCAGACATTATGCTTAATCTTAGTGAAAATAAATAAACTAATGGTACAGAAAGTATTTTAAATGTTAAGGGTTGTTCTAATACTAGATTCTTGCTATAATATTGTGAAGTGTTTGCATATACTTATCATCCTCATATGCCATGCTTGTAAGCATAGGCTGTCACGTTTCACTCTCTCATATGATCATCAGAATCACGGATCAGGTCATTGATTTTGTGTACATATTCTAGACTGCAGCATAATGAGATACATGACCAGTTAACTTTCTTGTGGTCTTTCTTTCACAGGTTAATAGACCTGAAAACTATCTGGTACCTGTCTTACAAGGGTGAGTTGACTCTGGTAACAATTCAGAAAGAAAAAAAAAAACAATTCTTCAGTTGTGGGAGATTGAAACTTAAGTTCTAGAACAAGAATAAAGTCCCAAAGTGGACAAACAGCCAGAATGTTCCACCAGAGTTTACAGCTAGTAAATGCAAAGAAGAAAAAGAGAACTCAGACCATGTTGAATATTGAAAGTTTAATTAAGAATCACAAAACTTGGGACACTCCCATAAGTGCTCCATTCCCATTTGGCTAGCTGTTCCTGCACGCACAAATTCAGATAAGGCTGTATGTCAGAGTAGTAAAAAAAAAAAGAAGTAAGATCCCTTTTCACGCCTTAGGCGCAATGGGTATATGGAAAGAGCGTCCCATATTTTTACAGACCAATTGGCACTAGCTGGGTAATGTGGTCAGCATTACGCTGGCCGTCTTTACTTTTCCAGGACAGCCATCCTGGTACCCATTTTAGTCTGGGTCAACCTGCGACGTCCCATTCCATGATAATAATCCATGCAGCCAGCAGTAGGTTTCCATCGCGGTACGTTGGAACTACGAGTTGGACTCGCAACGCCTAAGCCATGGACCCCGCATATCAGAGTAGAGAGCTCAAAAAATCAAATATAGTACTTGTTCCTACCATATGATGTCAGTAGCATGCCTTTTAATATTAATTTGCAAATTTAACGTTAAGAACATCATTTTCACACAATATAGCTACCTGGTTCTTAACACAAAAATGGTATCACTAGCAACAGATGTCGCAACAAACACAGGATATGCTTCCTTTCCTGGAACAGCATAGTCTGAGAAGGAAAATCCAAAACCTGTTACAGGTTCTGAAAGACCAGTTGAGACCTGCAAAAAGGTGGCATAACATTTAAATATGTGTGAAACTGAAAGCATCTGGTTTAACAAAATTTTAACACACACATAATTTGTCATTCTGAACGTGTACTTCAAATAGCTTTCAAACTGTATAATCAAAGATAACATAACTGTGTCGTTGAATGTTGAATGAAGAATCAACATCCCAGCACTCTGGACACTCCAATAAGTGCTCTGTCCCCATTTTCAGCAGCAAACGAAGAGTTCCTGTTCTGATGTTACCAGTAACCGTCTGTTTGTTTATCTGTCTCCTCCTTCCCCTAAGTGTTGAGCATCGGCCTGATCCCTGGTAACTCCTCACAGCACCATTCTCCTCAGACCTTAATGATCTGTCTGCACCTCCTCACAGTTTACCTGTTCCCAAAGGACTCTCATAATATCTAGCTTGTCATACATCAATTCACTACCAAGTGGTGCAGAGCCAGCCAATCTATCTGCCTGCTCATTTCCCAACACACTGGCATCCCTGGAGAAACTAACCAAAGGATGCTAACTACCCGGGACCTCTGAAGTGATGCTTGCCACTCTGCATGAAGCCTGCCTGTTTTCACCTTTCTCAGCATGCTTTGTGAGTCATTTACAATCACTGCATGTGTGTACAGCTGATTCTCAAGCCAGCGGAAGGCAGCAGAGAATGCTTCCACCTTTATTCTCAAACTAGACGTTGTGATATAATATGCAAGGCTTTGCTGCACCAGGCGATGTCCATTCGCCTTTGCTACGAACCCCCATCCACTTCGTCTGCCCCTCAACACAGAGCCATCTGTATAAATAATCACATCAATTGATCAGGAATTATCATGAATCATTTGTTGAACTTCTGATTCTGCAGCACCAGCTGGCCAGTCTCTGCACTCACGACCTAATGTTATTAGAACACTACACAAGTCTGAAACTTGTTTGGACACCTTGACCCACTCCTCTACTTGCTCAAAATTATCAAGCCTGCACACATATCCAATTGTGTCTTCAGCTTGCACGGTCCAAGGCCTTCCTCTTTTCAGTCTGTGACCCTTAGTTCTACCCAGGGCTTCATGCAGGAGGTGCTTCTTGTCTGCAGCTACTCTGAGATATTACTTTGCCTGCAGAACTTTGAGCATATCTGCAACAGTAGGCAGTGCAAGTATATATAACACATACATACTACCGAGGTATCTCTTGTACATCCCAAAATTACACGCATGGTTTCATTCTGTATGCGTTTGAGTTTTATTAGCTGACTCTTGATATGGTAAGCATTCCATAATCTATCACCGACAGGATCACATGCTGGAACACTGTGAACAGCATTCGTTGTTCCATGTCCATTGCTACCATAATCTTGAGAGAATTGAGTCCTATTTGGCATTTCACCACAACTGCCTCCACGTGTTTCCTATAGGACAGGCCTGTATTGAAAGTGATACCCAGCTTCCTCACTTTGTTTTCTTTTTTGATATTACTTTTATTAGCTCTGAGTCTTAGAACATCAGCTCCTTCAATTCTTTGTCCAGAGAGCACCACAAAACAGCCATCTTTTCTGAGCTGATGACAGCACCCATTTTTGCACACCAGTCAGTCACTTTACAGTTACCTGCAGCTCTTGGGCATTCAGATATCTATCATTCCCTTGCCAATTTGCACGAACATTCTCAGCAAATGTTAATATACTTCCAACACCTGGTGCTTTAAGTTCTGCAGTCTTGCTTGTATACACATTAAAGAGCACCGGTGAGACTGCAGAACCCTGGGTAAGTTAAGGGGCTATTACATGGTTCTGAGGTCCATGTACCTAAGTGAATGGCAGCCATACAAGAATGCAGGACAGCTTTTATCCAATTCATAAGCCAAGTATAAACCCCCTTCTCCATGAGTGCAGATGTCAAAATATTATACCTGACAATATTGTAGGCATCCTCAAGATCAAGTGCTGCGACAACTGTCTCCTGTCTCTTCTAGAACACTTCATAAACATCAAAAGCAAAAGTGTCTGCATCAGACCATTTATCTTTCTGTTGCCGGTAACTACTAAACCTTTAGGTAGCAGCTCTTCCCTTTTCAAAAACATCTGTAGTTTAACAGCAATAATCTTCTTTGGCACTTTGCCAAAAGTATTTTGTAGTGTGATAATCCTGAATCCGTTGAGTCTGGAATGATCTTTGCCTGGTTTCGGAAGAGGGGTCAGGTAGCTGTGACCCAATCCTGGGGTTCTGATGCTGTTCTGACACTCTGGTTAAAGTGAAATGCCATCTCCCTCAAGTCTTCATCACTCATGTTCTTCATATGGGCATACCTCACTCCGTCTGGCCCCGGCGTAGTGTCTTTTGCTATTTGCAATACATATTTTATATCCTTCACCCTAATAATATCCTGAAAATAATTATCATTTATAGCACTAGACAGATTATCTCTTACTGAATTTCTAAGCTCCCAATCATTATGATTGGTTTGGGATATAAATTTCTTCAAAAATGCTTCCCCTTTCTTTTTGTCTGTTGTCATTGGCATCATCAGTATATAAGCCCTGTTGTTTTAGGCCAATCCATCCTTTGCATTTGTCTGTTTCCAAAACCTACCTAGTGATTTATCGCCACCAATTTTGCTCATAATTTGTTCCCATTCAGCCTTTTTTTGCATCTGCTGCACAAGGCTTAAACTCTTTTACTTTTTCTTTTCTAACTTTTCCTAGTTTCTCTGCATCCTCTGCATCCTCTACATCCCATGAGGTGCCTTTCACACTTTGTGTAATTATTTAACTGCTGCTCACTTTGCTCTCCATGCTTATTCTACTTCTTAGGTCCACCACAGAGGCTACAAAAAAAAGCAGTTTAATTCCTGCAGCATAATGAAATCAAAGCCATAAATCAGTCTCTCCACTACAGGTCCTCTCTGCTTGGCACTACCACAAGTCCAGTAACCAAATCTAATATGCTTCAATCTCAGACGCTCAGTTTTTTGGCCTGACTCTCTGGGCTCCGGTTCTCTGATTTCTATGCCGTCTTCTCTCTCCATGTCCTCGTCTTCTCCTCTTCCCACTCTCTTTGTTGCCACCTGAAGATGGTATCAATCACATAGCACACACTCTGTAGCTGCAGCGATGATATATTTTATTATTAAGCACAAAATCCATAGAAGGTATTCTTTCAATGCAGGAAGTAAACAGTCACCCTAGTAGTGTCTGTTTACTAGGGAAGAGGCAGGGGATGTCCTAAAAGAGTACGCCTGATACCATCCCACCTGCTAACCAGACATTCCACGTTCACGACTGTATAATCTCCAGTCATTCAGAAAATAGGCACAAAGGTACACTGTAGACTTAGGTTTTTTTATCGAGGTTGTCTGCTCTAGATCCTCTGTGTTTTGTGCCTCTTCAGTCATGCATAACAGTCTTGACTGTTAATAATTTGGCCATTTTTGCTTATAGTTCCTCCATGTTGCTAAGGGTGCCAAGGACTGTGGCGTATCGCTGGTTGGAAAAAATCGAACAATTAATAATTACACAGTATCTAACACAAATATCAACTTCCCTGTGGCATCAAGTGGTGGAACACATTGCCGTCATGTGTTTGAACTGGTAAGAGATTTGATTGAGGCAATGAAACCGCGCAAAATTCTTGCTTTGATGTAATCCTGGTTGCTAGTGTCGCCATAGCCGAAGCGAAACCAACTATGTCGTAAAGCTTCCTAATGTGTTAATGAACAAATTCAGTGATGTCTCTTCAATATTTTAATATATATATATATATATATATATATATATATATATATATATATATATATATATATATATATATATATATATATATATATATATATATATACTTATCTGTATATTATTTTTAGTGCATGCATCTTCCCTGTAGCAACATATGGATGTGATTCGTGGACTTCCTCACAGCCATACAAAGAAAAAACTTGGACTTTTGAGCTGAAAGGCTATAGAACATTCTCAGAATACCATGCACAAGGAAGGAAAGGAAATAATGACAGCTTGTCTTAGAAACTGGAAAATTTTGGCCATTGGGTCACAGTGGTTTGGATAGAATAGTAGCAGAACGCATGGGGTCAGGAAAGAAAGGCTGTGGCCAATCAGTGGATACGACACCATCAGTAGGAAAGACATCTTCTCTTGATCATTACCACATTAAATGTTTTTGTAGTGTTCAGTTTTGTTCTGAGTGGTTGATAGACCACATTTTTAATATTGTGATGAAATTGTATTGTGGGAGGAGGAGGGGAGGTATTCGCAACATGTCATCAGTCATTAGTTACATTTTTTTTTTTGCTTTTGTTTTTCAAAATATTCACCCAGATAAACAAATACACAAACTTACATTAAAACATTTATTTAATCATAACTATTTGAGTCGTTTAAAAGTAATATTAACTTAACTCTTTGAGTCCCAGGGGGTTTAGCATCACAGGCCCAATGGGTAGTAAAGAGAGACTAAAATCGACACATCATGCATTCATTGGGCTTCTAGGTAAGAAGCTATGAACGTATGATGCGTTCCCTGGGAATCAAAGAGTTAACATTAGGGTTTAAATTTGGAAAAAGTGCAAAATACCCTTCAGTGTAGGACTAAACCTTACAAGCTAGTAGGTATATTTACAAATACACCAATCTCCACATGTATTTCTATTGTGTTTTTGTGTGTGTGTCCAAGAATGTATTATATGATGACATGTATGTTACACTTCATAAAGTGAGAGACGCATACTTCTTTAGCTGTAATTCTCTGACTTGGTGAATTAACTAGTCCAGCAAGTCCTCCAAGGTAAATGTAAATACAACCAGCACCGTCATCCTCTCCTGGTGCACCAACAGCAACATCTGTTTTAAAAATAAAGACATCTTTGGAGAACACAATATCATTATAAGCAAATACAAATTTATTTGTAAATATTTGCCAGCACCTTACTTTCTCTCAGCCTTCCACACAAAAAAAATCATAGAGTAAAAATTTTGATTTATTACACTAGGATGTGTTTATGTTTATGCCTTTAGTTTCTTAATAGTTAAAATATATATTACTAATAATAATGCATAATTATATAAACATATATATATATATATATATATATATATATATATATATATATATATATATATATATATATACATACATACATACATACATACATACATACATACATACATACATACATACATACATACACATACATACATACATACATACATACATACACATACATACATACATACATACATACATACATACATACATACATACATACATACATACATACATACATACATACATACATACATACATACATACATACATACATACATACATACATACATACATACATACATACATACATACATACATACATACATACATACATACATACATATATATAGATAGATAGATAGATATATATATAGTTACTACTTACTGACGAACACAGTGCTAATTACCACTTTACTATGCCACAAGTTCAATTAGATAGGTAATAATTTAATTTTAAGCTCCTACCTAATAAGTGTACTAGGATGCACTTGTACCTGCTGACTTGATGATCTTAGATTTAAAAATCCATTTCTTTATTGAAAAAGACGTTTGTATCCTAGTTAACCCAGCTCATGATTGATTATAAGAAAATGTTGCAGTAAGTAAAAATAACCTGCCTAATCTTGACCACATCAGTAATAAAGTATCTAGTGGTAAAATAAAACATTGTGTTAGCCAGGGCTTTTTCTGGTAGCATGCAATGGTACATAGTTTTGGCACCTTTTTTGTTTTGAGGCATCATATTTTTAATGCTACTGTAATAAGCACTTTGTCGTAAGTACCAACACCTTTGTTAGACACTTTATTGTCAGTTCAACACTTTTTCTCTAAAAAAAAAAAGGACATGGTTAGCACCATATTTTAATATGCCTCATATTGTGAAAATTGGTTTTTACTTACATGATTATCTCTGTACCTTTATTAATTTAAATTAGATACCTACAGAAATTCAAAACTGTTAAATACATTGTATAAATAAATATATCTAACTACTTACCAGTGTAGTTGTCTACATTTATGTCACCAATTTTCTGAATAGCAGTTCCAAATCGAGCAAACTTTTTCTTAGTGCCATCTAAATAGCCCTTCTGCATCAGTTTCTTGAAAAGAAAATAACAACATTGTCATAGCCCTGTGGGACAGAGTATAGACAATACGACTTGTAACTTCATGTTTGTGTTTGACAAACCAAAAAGGTGCACCAGCGGTCAGCTAGCTGAATTGACGATATTGGGGAAAACTCAAGATGGCTTGAACACTGGTGCCACGTACACGTTTTACCCAAAGCTGAACGGGGAGAGAAGGAAGAGCGATTTGAGATGGACGTATGAGGCCGAAGACATATAGAGACGTGAAAGGTTGTATTGTGTTAGGAGTTGATAGGGACTGTTAGCGTATGTGTCGGTTAGCTGTTGGTATTCCTCATGTGCTTATAGTATGCTAAGACAGTTGTGTTGGTGTTGTATCGTGCTTAGGTAGGTGTTCTTTCTATGAGTTATTAGAGTTTAGCTGCGTTTTGTGCTGGCGTTGACACTGCCCGCTAATACTTATACCACTCACCCTGCGTGTGCCACTGAGTCTCGCATGGCGAGGACCGCAGCCTAGTTAGCGCTGCACGACAGTGAGGTGGAATCGTGTCCTCTGGTACATCCATGGGAATGGCTCGGGGTGGATAAGTAAATATAAATGCTGCCACTGCGGGAGTTTCGGATAAGGGGCTGTCCATAACTGTTAAGGTTGCTTTAGGTTTGTGTTGCTTTTTGTGCATTAAAGATGATGTGTGTACTCGATAGGTGTGTGTTTTAAGTGTGTTCTGGTATATTGTGTCTGTCACAGGGCCGTACAACGAGCTGTAGTTAGGTAATATAGATACAAGGTCCTTAACAAACATTATAGCTAGAAATTGGATACTTTGAACATATTGTTGCATGTCACCTATCACATACAAATGACATTATCATGTAAAAACACAAAGAAGAGAAGACATGTAATGGATTTTTCTTTTGGAATGCAGAAGTTAGTTCTTTCCCCACCATATTTCAATTACAGGCAATAATCATAAAATTATTAAAACTAGCAAGTACTCATTTTTTTTTAACCTATTTCAACCCTAAAACTTCACAGCTTGAAAAAACAAACATAAAAAAAATAATACAACTTTTTTGACTGAAACTAGCCAGCTGTCTTGAAAGATACTAACTACTGTGTTGGTGATTAACTGTATGTCCTTGCAGACTAAAGTGATCTGTACAGTATGAGAAAACTAAACTATCTACAGTTTAGATACAAGGAAACATTATATATATGTTGAACAATATCATTTTTAGTGTCAAAGTTTGTCCATTTTTAACTTATTAACAATACCAATAGAAACAACACATTATGATAACGACACATTAGATCATCTATATACATTTTATCATTCTGCTCCTAATAAATAACCATAAGTGAGAGCCAGCAGTCTGCAGTCAAATAAGCAAGATCTGAAAAATGGATGCACACACAAAAGTTAGGTCCTGAAACAAAGCCAAAGTCCAGAAATGGATGAACAACCAGGTCTTTCCACCAGAGTTAACAGCCAGTGAACACAAACAATGACAACAACAACAACCAAAGAACACAAGCAAAAACTAACCACCTGTGAAATATAATGTTCGAGAAAATCTGCATACAAAACTAGAAAAGATCATGTAAGAAACAAAGAAATTAGCTCATAATTAAATTAGAAAACAAAAACTAAAATGGTTTGGTCACCTAGTAAGCCCAACAATGCCACTAGCAAGAATGTATAAGATTCAAATGGAAACATCAAGAAGCAGAGAAAATGAAGAAGTCACTGATGGAAAAGACCTCACAACCTCGCAGCATTCCATGTGATCAAGTATACCCTAGCATGGCTCCCTATCACTTGTTAAGCTGTAATGACTAGCACATACTGACTAAAGAATACGGAAAAAGCACATTGAGTTATTGAATTTTCATTTAAGGGTCATTTTACAAGCACACCACACAGGGCTTTCTTCCCCCTAAAATAAAAGAGAGCCAGTATTTACCTAAAATGTATCTAAAAATATGGCTGGTACATTTACAAAGTGTCTATTCCAGCAGCTTTGAAAACAAAATTATGCATTAAAAAAAAAAGGTACTAGTACTGCAAACACACATATATAGATGTTCATGCACACCCATGAACACATACCTACATATGCATGCATACATACTCCTTCTCACTAATATAGATACAAAAACATACTTCACTTGTTGTAGACCGTGCATAGATAAAGACTCTTCCTTGGTCATGACCATGATGTGTATCTGCTATGTCAGTATAAAGGGGCGCTCCCACAAGAAGTTCATCATAGACATCTCCATTAGTATCAACAGCACAAAGAGTGTAACCAAAGTAACTCCAAGCCTAGTGGGGTACAAGTACATCAGTATTAACATCAGTCAAACAAAAGTCAACTTCAAGCATCACACTACATTAATGCTGTATTCACAGCATAAGAATTGTAACTGACTCGGAAAGCATGCTGAGGAAGATCAGGACAGGCATGCTTCGTGCAGAGTGGCATGCTTCGCTGCGGAGGACACGGGTGAGGAGTATTGTCTGAATTTTTTTCATCAGGGCATGCCAGCGTGTTGGGAAATGACAAACGGACAGACTGGCTGGCTCTGGACAACTTGGTGGAATGCTAATACATGATAAGGCAACCGTGGTTAATGCCTTGTGGGAGAGCGTGTACAGTTCAGAGGAGCAGATGGACCACCACAGTCTGGTGAGATTGATGCAGGGGGGAGTGATGAGAGGTTCTGGCAGATGCTCAAGGCTTAGAGAAAAGGCAAGATGGATGTCTAATCAGAATGCTACTGGCACCAATAGTACCGGAACTCTTCATTGGCTGCTGAAGATGGGGATGGAGCGCTTATGGGAATGCCCCGAGTGCTGTGATGTTGGTTCTTGAATCAAATCAAATTAACGGCATAAGAAAAGTAAGTTGAAGCTTGTGTGATACGAGTGCATCAATATTAAGGGCATAACCAAACTCCAAACTTGTATAATACAAATACATCAATATCAAGGGTGTAATTAAAGATGCTCCAAGCTTGAATGATACAAGTCTTTAGTATTATAGGTATAACAGTTTTTGTTTCCTATTTGATGGTGCATAGATCCCTAGAAAGTGGGAAAAGGGGTGTGGGGAAACCTCACAAATTTATGGTCTGTGATATCACTTACAAAACTACCTTCAACTTTAGAAAGCAATTATTTATGCAGTTCTAATATTCATAAATTATAATAAGTTTTTCAGTATGATTGCAGAAGTGTAGGGTCTATGCAGACCTTCATAAATAAGATGGGTTCACAGGACTTAGTTTGGGAACCACTGGTATAGTGTGATACAAAAAGATAAGTATTAGGAACATAACTAAAGTAACTCAAAGCTACACCATATAAGCTGGCATGGCCAGTTCAGTTACTCATCCAGTGATTCATAGCCAATAACGCCAAAAGTTCAAAATGGACTTTTGTTGCATGAGAAAGAACCTATCACAGACACTTCTCTCCTACTTGGACATACAAGGTCTGGCAATTAAGTAATGAGACTAATTCCATAAAATTAAAATAATAAACAATAGAAGATATAACCTGTATTTTATTCAAAGTAGAAAGACCTCTTGTGCATTGATACAGCAAGTGGCATGATCTAACAAACAATAGAACGACCTCTGTAGTTCTTCTGTTGTTATGGCCCTTAAAGTCGATGTTACGGCCCTTTGGATGTCATCAATATCGTTAAAAAAGTGTCCTTTCAATCGCAACTTTAATTTTGGGAATAGAAAATAATCACAGGGAGACAAATCTGGGGAATAGGGTGGAGGGCTGAGAACACACACTTGTTTTGGGGCCAAAAATTCCTGTTTTGATGATGTCTCCTGGGTACTCAACCCGCCGATGTTTTTGGTCATCAGACAACGAATGTGGCACAAACCGACAAGTAACTTTTTTCTTGCCAAAATCTTGCACTCAAATGTTATGAATGGTCTTTCTATTAACACCAGATTCATCTGCTATCATCCTCACAGTAAAACAATGATCTTCTTGTATCCGTTCTATGACTTTTGTGTCCAGGTCTAGGTGCATTAGTAAACATTTCCACACCATTTTTGAATCATGAATACCACCTGAAAATTTTTGCACGAGATAAACAATTATCCTCATTAACTAGCTGCATCAATTCAACTGTTTCAATGGCACTTTTTCTGAGTTAAAAAAAAAAATTAATATTAGCTTTTTGTTCCGTGCTGATTACGTAATGCACCTCGACTAGGTCAACAAAATGGTGGCTTGTTTGTTGTCTGCTTATCGAGTGGTGATGAAAAGTTACCAGATCATAGATGAATGTTGCTCTTTAGATTCCATGCTTTGCTTTATAGATGGCATTTTTGTCTGGGCCATAATAAAGTCACTCATTACTGAATTGTTAGACCTTGTATAAATATTCTATACAGATCCTGCTGGATTGTGAGGCAGCAAGTGGAACTGTTGGCTTGACACAGAATGGACCAGGAAGATATATTAAAAAATCTCCATTCATTCATCAAACCTCATCGCACCCAGAGGCACACAAGGCAGAGACAAACTGTTGCCAATAAGTTTGATCCAGAGCCATCCTCTCTATCTCCAATGTTGTCCTTTATAGCCTTGAGTTCAACCTCGAAGATTCACCTCTAAGTGCCTCTGGGCCTGCCTCTTCCTCCCTGTCCTTGTGGCACCCATTGCATTGCCTGTCTCAGCTGTCTATCTTTCTTCATTCTGAGGATGTGTCCAATCTACTTCTTTTTTGTATTTTTTTTAATTTCTAAATGTACATCTTCTGTGTCTGACATTTGTTGTAATCTAGAATTGTTGATTTTTTTCTTCACATGTGAACCCCAACAATCTTCTAAGAATCTTCCCTCAAAACCTCTGAGCATGCTCTCTTTCTGTTTTCCAAGTTTTTGCTCCATAGAGGAGAACTGTCCTAACACATGTTTTGTATATCCTGAGTGTTTAGTTTTAGTGCCACAGATGTTAGATCTTCAGACACTCAGAAGTCTGTTGTAAGCAACATTTGCCTTTGCAATTCTCTGCTTGTTTTCAACTACTATATTTCCATCCCACAGATATTGCTCCTCAGGTAGGTGAAATCAGTTACTGTTCCCATTATTGATTGATATTTGCAGCCAGATTTTCTCTTTAAGTTTAATTGACCAAGTATTTAGGAGCAAATATGAGAACACATGATCTTGTGGCTAGGATTAATAAGGTTGAGCCATTCACAGTCACTTTGCATGATACAGAGAGATTTAAAATTGTCAAGCCAAATAATTAAGTTTCTTCATACACCTGACCTATTATGCTTACCTGCCTTTCTTCAAACTTTTGAATCAGTTGTAAGTCGTTTTGATTTACCCATCTGTAGATAAGTATCTTAAGAGAAGGATATAAATATTTTAGTCTAAAATTTGAAAATTTTATTTATTGGCAATATTACATTTAATTAAGATACAACTGAAGCCTTTTGTAGATACATCCATTTAGTGTATGAATTAAACATTATTACTTGTACTAAAATAACTCACACTATACTAATTATGGCCCCTTCTACTGTTGATTAAATTATTTGCAGATCTTTATATTTATTCAGCTGTGAACTGTTTTTCTATGAGAATATAAATTGTGTGTCACAGTTTGTATCTGTTTCATGTTACATTTAATGCTACTCTTTTGTGGTAATTTAAAAATAAAAAGTTTTTGAGCATGTAAAACATTACTGCAAGTGTAGCACTGTTTTTCTTTATCGTCAGTGATTTTGCAAGGATTTAACTTCCATTTACTAGGTCCGTAATATGCCATCTAGCCAGCCAGTATCTGTTTTGTCATTCACCAGTTGTAGAAAGTTTGATGGTTCATTATTAGGTTAGTCTGTCCAAAGATTTGTGTTAAAGTTGTCTATGAATGTGAAACCACTGTTCCCTTTATCACTAACACTCTTCAGCTAACTGTTTTCTGCTTTCAAGCAGATTTGCATGCTTTTTTTGGGGGGAGGAGGGGGGGGGAGGGGTGGGATCTGCTATTTTATATTGACCTGGATTGTGTTTTCCAATGTTAGTAATACTATATTTTTTTTAATGTTTTGGGCAAGCAACTATGTATGCATGCTGTCTATTGACTCACATAAATAGCATACATTTGTCTAGATAAAATAACCATAAATGCCTTTGTCAAATAAGGTGAGTAAGAGAGTTGTCAAGAGGCAATTTTGATGTGCATAAGTGATTATGGACAACCATTAGAGTTGAGACATTGAGTGGAAGCTGCAGGGATGTAACTTTACAGAACAATGACAAGAACCTCATGGATTTGTGAAAAAGTGTGTTATAGATTTCTTCAAGAAAATAAACTCACAGTTGACATTTCTGAACATGTCATGAGGCTGAGAAAATGGACATAGTAATAGGAAAATTGGAGAAGAAAGAGAGAAAGGGGAACACAGAGAACTAAATACTATGGACAGACATCATGATCAATGCCACATGGCATTAGCTTTAAGTAGGAGAGTGAGCCACCATGGTGTAGTGGCTAGAAGCTCGCCTGTGTATCCAAAGGTCATGGGTTCAAATCTAATCATTTAGACTTTAAAAAAATGATCTTGGCTCCCAGGTAGATCCTGGGAAGTAAAGGCAGCTGTCATTATGTTTTCTACATCACCCACCCTGTGCTAATTAGTCTATTTGTTTTAGTATCCAGAAGCCATAAGTTGTTAACCCTTAGGCTTGGTATTATGGATATCACAACCTTTCGGCCTTGATTCCATTGTAAATACCGTAAATCTGGGAGAAAATGTGGCTTTTCTGCCCACCCCCGGGATTGAACCCAGACCACAAGGAGTTCGTCACCCGGTCTCCGCGCAATTCGGTTTAGCCAACTACGCTAGAGAGCCGGGCAATTAGTCTATAAATATAGATCTTGCACTGTATGTACAATACACCTGAAGGCATGGAAAAGGGTTGTATATAAGTAGAAGAAAACATACCATGCCAACTCGGTTGCTGTTAGGGGCACTGGCAGCAAAACAAGTGTCAGTACCATCACAGAATCTGCCTATCTTCACAGAGTAACCTGTGACACAGTAAATATGTTACAACTGAAATGTGCTTTGCATTTATACATATTAAAAGTAAGTAAAGTAAAGGACCCATTTTCACACCTTTAGGCATATAGGGCATATAGGGCTAGACCTATATTTTTATAGACCAATCGTCACAAGATGGGTGATGTGGTCAGCATCATGAAGGCCCCCTTTACTTCCCAGGACTGCACTCAGTATCCACTCCAGGCAAGATCGACTTTGGAGCCAAGGTCATTTTTTTAAAAAGTCTGGCTCCACCAGGGAGCGAACCCGCTACCTTCTGATCCATGGTGAGCGTCTAAGCACTCTGCCACGTCGACTCTCCTTATACATATTACGGATTATTAATAATGAACAGACAAATATGTTTTCATAATTTTGTTTTTACCTGGTTATCATCATCATCCTCATGTGTTGTGCTGATGAGCATAAGAAAACACAGTTCATGGTTTCAAAAAATCAGCAGAATAACTGATCAGGTTTATGTTCTTGTCATGCCAATACCATGATGTTAAAGCCTGCAGATATTTTTCTATGTGTCTTTACTTACTCTTCTGCATTAAGTCTGCCAATGCCAAACATTATTTAAAAAATATTCCTGTATAACATGTCTGCAATTTCTTAATTTTCATGTTTAATTTCAAAAAGCATTATATGTTACTTCATTTTTAATATTTTTTTTGTGTTGTTGTTGCTTTTTTATCTGTAAAATAATGTTCTTTCATTTCTTGGTCAATTTTTATTTTGTTTCATACTTGATCTAAACTTGACTCAAGTTTGATTTATGACACTAACTTAAAAGAAAGATGTTACAAGATGGTTGGCACAATTGTTGTCTCTGTAGGGATATATTATTTCTTGTCGACAATTTTATCAGTTAATGGGAAATTCTGTTACTTCAAGAAGTCACTACACTTCATTTTTTCTTCAGTTTATGACAAAAAAACATCAATTTTCAATGTGTTCGTTTTTGTTAAGTCCTGCATTCATTGAAAAGATTACACACATAATTTATGTGATTTGTAAACAATTTAGCAATGAAAAGTTAATGCTAAAGACACCACTCCATGTATTTTTCTTTAAGATAAAGCTATGTACAAAAAAAAAAAAAAAAAAAATAATAAATAGAAATGTTTCAGAAAAAGCAACAGCTGTTTACAAATACTATAATTAATTTATAACTGTCCTCCCCATGAGGGATGCAATTTTTAGTTATTTTGAAGCCCCACACTGGCTTTTTCCATGGGCCCTGAATATAGCTGCATCTTAAATATTGCCTAACTGCTGAACAGGGTTTCCAGGACCTCTCCACTGGTGATCCTCATCTGCATTGTGGCACTTTGTGTCACTGGGTGTTTATCGCTTGTGTGATGTCCTGGTGTGGTATAACTTACCTTCCTTACCTAATACTATAATAGATCAAAACTTTAGACATTCAAAATTTCAATTGTTCCACTTGTTTGTTGAATCAGTTCTATAAAAGACACTCAATTTTATGATAAGTAATTTATAGTGAGGTAATAAGTTGATGAAGAAGAAACAAACAATTATTTGCAAGAAAGAGAAAAGTATTCTTTGTGTACGAAACTGAACTCTTTTTACAATCTTTTCCCAACTCGTACCCTCAGAATAAAAGATGCCATAGTGGAGTACGCAGTAAACTAAGTCTAACTGTTGCCCTTGTATGTAACGCAAAAGACAGTGATCTGTTCATCTATTCATGGACAAACCAAGTATTTTAGAAACAAGAATATGGATAATTACCCTGCATCTGCTCTCATCACAAGAAAGCTTAGATTAACAGCTCACCATTTTGTAAGTAGCTTCTTCATTTCAATAGTTGACTAGTGGTTCAGCTCAGAACAGACAAATTCTTTTGATTTTGCCTCCATAACATACATACAAGAATTGAATTTTAACCATTGTAAAGATCCAGTCACCCCCCCCCCCCCTTTTCCCCCTCCTTACACCCCCCCCCCCCCCCCCCAATCCCTCCATCCACTGTTATCTTCAGTTAATGGATCATGATTGCTCTTATAAAGAGGGCTCAGTAGTAATAATGTTTTCTATGGAGTGATAGAAATATTGTGAAAGTTTAATTCTGTATCATCGGCTTGGAGGTTGCGGGGTTGCGAACATGCTTTATCATGCTAGGGTGCCAGGTTCGATCTTAGCTGTTGACGATCTGTCTTGCATTGGTTTTGATAGTTGTACAGAGAGCTGACCGTTCAGTCAGCAATGGCAAACCTCTAAACGTAAAATTTGCTGAGAAAAACCACAACAGTAAAAAAAAAATGCTGAGGTTGGTTCTGCAATGCCCTGTAAAGATATGCAACACATATTGCAACATCACAATCTTAATCCTTGACGAGCATGAATTCTTTAAAATCATTAACTGTTGATTTTTTTTTCAGTCTTTTTGAATGTATATTAATGAGGTTATAGTGTAGCTCATTTTGGTAAAATCTTTCACACATTTATTATCAGTTTAAAGATTGTGTATACTGACCTATATATCCAAATGCAGTTGTGTACAGTTTATTCACCAGAGCAGTGGTATAGTTGGACATGACTCTGGTATTGACATCCAGAATCACAACAGTCCCTAGAAACATAAACAGTCTTTTTATAGCTACAAACTGTCTTGAGGTTTAAAGGCTTTATCTTAAAGTCTTGCAACTCTCTCTCTCTATCTATGTCTCTCCCTTCCTCTTTCTTGTACATGTATGTGCAAGTGTATGTGTGTGTATGCAAGTGTGAGTGTGTGTGAATATGTGAGTGCATGCTCAAGTATGTATTTGCAGTTGTGTTTAAACATCATTATGTCTGTGATTGTGCATTAGTGTGTGTGTGTGTGTGTGTGTGTGTGTGTGTGTGTGTGTGTGTGTGTGTGTGTGTGTGTGTGTGTGCATGTGTGTGCCCACATCCATCCATTTGTGTGTATGCATACTCACGCATGCATGTTGACACATTAATATGCTTGTTAGTGCATATGTTAAACATTTATTATTTGAAACAAATTTATTTTCCTAGATTTGGCTTACTTCACTCTATTTAAGTTCACAGTTTCCTTCCCTGTGTATATGTTATGTCATGTCATCACAATCAACGTCTTTGCACATTGGGTATCCTCATGTATCAGCCATTCTAAGTACCCTTTCTGATTGTTCCCATGAGGAGTTGGTTATAGTATCTCTTGCCTTTACCTCAAAGATGACATAGACGTGCTTTACCAAGCTTAACTCCTCGGTTATGCAGTCATGTTAGCATCAGAGATTCACCGTTATCTCCCAACATAGTCCATACAGCATTCATTATATCAGCTCTGTCCATGCTTCTTTCCTTGTGCATTGATGCCTTACTTGCAAGATGGTCAGCTCTTTCATTACCATGTACTTCTGTGTGCCCAGGCGTGTAGATCCAGATGATGGCGGTTAACTGCCACTTTTGAATGCTTTCTACCCATTCAGAGCATAGATACCCTGTAGCGATTTTCTGAAACAATTACCGCATGTGTGATCATTTGTTCTGCTACCCAAGTGAGGGCTCTGGAAGCAGCCGTTATCTCCATGGTCATGCTTGACGTAGTTGTCTGGTAAGCACAGCTATCCTCTTTTATTGTTTTCCCTATCCTTTGTGCTGTGTATGCACATGTTGATATTGGTACCCGTTTCAGGGACCCATCTGTGTAAATGATGCCTCTTCTAGGCATGAATGCTGATCAGTCAGCCTGAGTATAAGGTGTCTTCTTCTTAACTGTTGACTTCTCTGTACTTGTTGACACTAAAACCTTGGTCTACAATTTCAAACTCGTTTTTCTCAATCCATTTTCAAAACTTATTTAAGAAGTATGTCTTGTTAAAGCTCTGAGAGAGAAGGCAGGAACTTTATACTCTACAAAAACTACATTTTACATATTTCATATGCTTTTTTACCTTCTGAAATAGTCACTCCTGGAGCACCCATTACAAAAACTGATGACTGAAATAAAACAGAAATAATGAATAATTATGACTATTACAACAACAAAAATATCATTCTTGTAGTTTTTGTATTTGTCTTACAAAACTTAAATGACAATAAACATTTAGAATATTCACCAATTTGAAAATAGTTAAATACTTTAAAAAGGAATTAATTTTAGTGTTCTCTGGCATAAACAGACAGACTATGTCTCTACCAGTAGGTGTCAAATGGTGACTGCACTGAATACTGATTTACGAATCAACATCATAGCATACCGGGCAAACCAAACAGATGCTTCGCCACCCACAGCAAATGACTTAAGGTGTAGATGCTAAATGTTGCCGTAACATACTGATTATTCTTTTTCTTCTGCCTTTCTATCTCCCAATGGAGCATAGGCCCTCAACCAACTCATGTCAAATTGTTCTATCCTTCGCCTTTGCATGGAGCTCTCCCCATGTCCTCCCTATCTTTCTAACTTCATTCTCCAGCTCTCTTCTCCATGTATTTTTTGGCCAGATCCACACTTAATTCCTTGTTCACACATTCTCGCTTATGTTATTTCTAAACTTGTGTCTTCTGCAAACAGTCTTTCATAAATGGTCTTCAGAATATCTCTCTTGTCCAGTAAGAGTGTTCCCATAGCTTTCACTTTGGTTGGCAACAAATCTGCTCTTTCATTTCCACAGCCTACATGTCCCACACAGTATATCCACGTGATTCCCTGCAATGTTAGCATACTGATGCTTTGTATCCGCTCATGCTACAATAGTCCATTTTGAACCTTCCGCAATGCCAACTGAGAATCAGACACAATAATTCCTCTGGTAATTTTGTTTTCTGCTATCCAATTCAGATCTGCAGTGATTGCCTCCACTTTCAATCTCATGTTTGAAGTTGTAGATAAAAAAGCTCTGTTTTGTTCTGCCACAATTTTTCCCTTCATTCTAGATGAAAACCCCCAGCCAGATCTTACACCCTGTTGAACAGAACTATCGGTGTTTACTACTGCATCATCTAGTCCAGCCTTTCCATCTGTCAGTTGTTTTGTCTCTAATTCTGCCATACTGTTACACCACTCTGTACATTCTCTTCCTAACGTGATAATGACCTGATGGAAACTATTGTTGTGGGTGTTCATATCAACAAATTACTGCCCCCTGTGTATCTGCTTGACTAAGGCAGCCAACTCGATGGTATCTTCAGCTAGTGCACTCCATGACTTTCCTCTTTTCAATCAGTCTTCAATTAAATTGTTCGGTTACCATGTAGACAATGCCTTTCATCATTGGTAACTCTCATATAGGTGTTGCCTTGCACCAGTGACAGTCTAGACTTTATTGATGTAGGTCCAAGCATATACCTCATTGTTCTAATTGGAATGTCTTATGTGCAACCCAAGATGATTCTCATTCCTTCATTAGGAATCCTTTCAAGGTTTGTACAATGTGAAGTAGATAGGGTTAATATTCCTAGGCCATAATCAATTACTGAAAGGACCAAATGGTTGAACAATAAGACCAATAATATCTGTTCCATATGTGTCGCCACCATCATCTTCTGTGCTGCCAGGCCATGCTTGGATTTGATCACAGTCTGCTTCACATGACTGTACTGTAATAGATGTATGAACTGGCAGGATTTCATGTGTACTGGTCTATAGAATCCTAAGGTTTTGACTTGGAATCCTGACTGTACTTTGCAGAAGAATTTCAGTACTTATATAATACTTTCATCAGAAAATATGGTCGAAGTAAAATAATTGTTGAAACAAAGCCTTGCCCCCATACAGGAATGCACTCTGAACCACTTTGTCTATATAACATCTTGCTTTGCTCTGTCAATCACACAAAAAAATAAAAAAATAATAATCTGTATATAAGTTTAAAAAAAAAAAAAAAAAAACTAATTGCTTAAAAAGAATATGAAGTTGGTTGTTCAGGGACACACCCATGACCGAGTTGTAGATTTTTGCAGTATGAAGCAAGTCTTCAATTTGCCGACCCTCAAATGTTTTTTCTTACAAATATTGTTTTTGAATTCTGCTGCTTATGCTGCTCCATTAGGACGCCGTCTAATGTAGCCGTCTCTGTATCATAGCACAGCCCTGGATGCACCCATCTCTCATGTGCATTTGCTCTTGCTGCCTAAAATCAGGTATCATTATTTGTAAACTTGCCGACATCAATGTCTGTTGCGCTGCATAGTGAATACCAGTGAGGGCTATTAAAAGAAGCCAGAAAATGGCAGACAATTCAGTGCAGAGGCTTAATAGCTTTAAGAGCTGATGCATCAGAACTAGAAGACAAATAATGTAAATATGTTCTGTATGTTGAGAACATATGTATTTAGTGTCAGAATTCTTCAGATCCAAATACATCATCTCATTATTCAAGAACTGCAATCTGCTCTGACAGGAATAATAATATGGCAGCTCCCTGCTGAGCTCCCTGTAACATAGTCGTAGCCCATTTAGAAAATATGTGTGCAGTTATTCAGACTTGAGAGACTTTATCTTTCAATATAAATATATCCATTTGTACACACAAAGTAAAGTAAAGGACCCCCTTCAACACCTCCATGTGTATTAGGTATATAGGACTAGACCTATTTTATATAGAACAAATGGTACTTGGTGGGTGATGTGGTCAGCATCACGCCAGCTGCCTTTACTTCCCAGAACTGTCTCTGGTACCCACTCAAAGCTGGGTTGACCTAGAAACCAAGGTCATTTTTTAAATAAAGTCCGTCCCCCGTCGGGACCCAGACCCATGACCTTCCTATCCGTAGGCGAGCATCTAGCTGCTAGAACACGGTGGCTACCAATGTGTACGTAGTCATACAAACAGCATGTGAACCAGGCTGGGTGGGGCCAAAGATTTTCGTTTACTGCGTTAACCCTTAATAGGACCCCTACCATGTTGTGTAATGGTTTACATCTGGGTTGTGGTATCTGTATTTCTCAGTCTAACAAATCCAGTTTAAGCAAATCCTTAATTGATCCTATTTTACAACATACTTTTAAAGACAGTGAATTTATCCTCAGTCTATACTCCCTCTCTCTCTCTCTCTCTCTCTCTCTCTCTCTCTCTCTCTCTCTCTCTTTCTCTCTCTCTCTCTCTCTCTCTCTCTCTTTCTTTCTGAAGGCCTAGAACCCACAAAGGGAGGAAAGTAGGACTGGGCTAAAATTAGAAGACTATGACACAATGAATTAATAAACAGAAATTCTACATACCTTGTCAGAGTCCACAGAAAAGCCAAAAGATGCCATACCATAGTAGTATTCGACTCTGTTGTCAATCTTCCTAATGTAATTTGTCTTTCCAGAATTTTCAAAAAATGGCATAAAATTGTCAGTAATCTGGAAGGAAAACAAAAAGGTTTGGTTAGTTTAGCAAGTATGGTGTTCCATTTAAATTTAAGATTTACTCCAAGCACAAAATGATCATTAATATATTGTGTCATTAAACTGTATCTTTAAACAATTTCCTTCTCTTGTTTTTACCCTGTGCTTACTTTTGTGTTTACCATTATTGACCCTTACCACACTTGTATTATTTCTGGTATTTATTCTTACATTTACCCTTGTATTTACTTTTGTAATTATATTGACTGTTACATTTACTCTCGCATTTACTCCTAATTCTTTTTTGTAAACTTACATTTACCCTTGCATTTACTCTTGTATTTATATTTGCTCTTACATTTACACTTTTACTTACTCTTGTTTCTTCTATTTACTCTTACATTTACCACTGTATTTACTCTGTATTTTGACCCAGTGTCCTCCACCCTCCCAACAGCCGTGTGATACAATGTGACTAATTATGTAGGTGTCCTTCAAAGGGAGTGCCTCTGCCTGAGAGATGAGGAAACAACAGTTAGTATACACAAAAAAAGCTAGACCTGCAAAAGTTGAAACAAGACCAAATTCCAGATATGGAAGAACAAACAGAACTTTCAGCAGGACTTGACTGCTGGTAAATGCTAAGAAGAAGACTCCTGAATTTACCATAACATTTACCCTTGTATTTATTAGGTCTTGTATTCATGCTTACATTTACCCTCTTGTATGTACTGATATATATATATATATATATATATATATATATATATATATATATATATATATATATATATATATATATATATATATATATATATGTAAGTAAAGTAAAGGACCTTTTTCCATGCCTTTAGGCATATAGGGCTAGACCTATATTTTATAGACCAATTGGCACAAGATGGGTGATATGGTCAGCATCACACCAGCCGACTTTACTTCTCTGGACTGCACCCAGTACCCACTCAAGGCTGGGTCGACCTGGGAGCCAAGGTCATTTTTGAAAAAAGTCCAGCTTCGCCAGGGAGCAAACCCACGACCTTCCAAATCTGCGGCGAGCGTCTAGCCGCTCTGCCACAGCGACTCCCATATATGTATGTACACTTAAATATATACATATATAAAATTAGTCATGTATTATACTATTAAAATTTTTGAAGACTGAATAATCATGATGAATTAAAATCTATGCACTGTGTGTGTGTGTGTGTGCGTGCGTGTGTGTGTGTGTGTCTCTGTGTGTGTGTCTGTGTGTGTGTGTGTGTCTGTCTGTCTGTCTCTGTGTGTGTGTGTGTGTGTGTGTGCGTGTGTTCATGGATGTATACCTATGTGTGTATGTATGTATGTATGTATGTTTGTTGGTGTGTATGAATGGATGTTTGTATTATGTATGTATGTGTGTATTATGAATTTATTATTATGTATGCATGTGGGTGTAACCTATGTTGTTTGCAGGTTGGTGTGTGTATGTATGTATGTATGTATGTATGTATGTATGTATGTATGTATGTATGTATGTATGTATGTATGTATGTATGTATGTATGTATGTATGTATGTATGTATGTATGTATGTATGTATGTATGTATGTATGTATGTATGTATGTATGTATGTATGTATGTATGTATGTATGTATGTATGTATGTATGTATGTATGTATGTATGTATGTATGTATGTATGTATGTATGTATGTATGTATGTATGTATGTATGTATGTATGTATGTATGTATGTATGTATGTATGTATGTATGTATGTATGTATGTATGTATGTATGTATGTATGTATGTATGTATGTATGTATGTATGTATGTATGTATGTATGTATGTATGTATGTATGTATGTATGTATGTATGTATGTATGTATGTATGTATGTATGTATGTATGTATGTATGTATGTATGTATGTATGTATGTATGTATGTATGTATGTATGTATGTATGTATGTATGTATGTATGTATGTATGTATGTATGTATGTATGTATGTATGTATGTATGTATGTATGTATGTATGTATGTATGTATGTATGTATGTATGTATGTATGTATGTATGTATGTATGTATGTATGTATGTATGTATGTATGTATGTATGTATGTATGTATGTATGTATGTATGTATGTATGTATGTATGTATGTATGTATGTATGTATGTATGTATGTATGTATGTATGTATGTATGTATGTATGTATGTATGTATGTATGTATGTATGTATGTATGTATGTATGTATGTATGTATGTATGTATGTATGTATGTATGTATGTATGTATGTATGTATGTATGTATGTATGTATGTATGTATGTATGTATGTATGTATGTATGTATGTATGTATGTATGTATGTATGTATGTATGTATGTATGTATGTATGTATGTATGTATGTATGTATGTATGTATGTATGTATGTATGTATGTATGTATGTATGTATGTATGTATGTATGTATGTATGTATGTATGTATGTATGTATGTATGTATGTATGTATGTATGTATGTATGTATGTATGTATGTATGTATGTATGTATGTATGTATGTATGTATGTATGTATGTATGTATGTATGTATGTATGTATGTATGTATGTATGTATGTAGGTATGTAAGTGTGTGTATGTATGTATTACATGTGTCTGTATTTGAGTGTGCATGTGTAAGTATAAGAATGTAAGAGTATGCGTAGGTGTGTGTGTTTGAGTATGTATGAGTGTGTATTTATGATGTGTGTATGCATTATTTTATATTGTATATTTTTTTATTATAAACATAACAGGCATTATTGATAACAAGCATATGTACACTGAAAGATATGTGCTTAGAAGGGCCAAATGTCAGACTGGCCTGCGTGCCTAATTTGTAATCCTTTGAAAATAAAGTTTTTTCAATTTTTCATCTCCTTCAGTAACCAATAGTTTCCATGCTGTTAGTGCTATTGGAAAACTAATTGAAAGTCTTTTTTCTTATGTTCTGAGCATGATTAAATCCTTTGCTCAATTTCTGCAGTTGAAAGCACATTTTATGGTAGGCTGAAAACAAAAATAAACAGAGTACAATCCTTCTTTGACTGAAAGAGTAAAACACCAACAGAAACAACAACAAAACTCACTGAATCATCGAGTGGATCTGTGAAAGTACATCTTCCTAAGCTAAAAGTGAAAGCTGGCACAGTTGTGTCTTTCCAGTTTGGACTACATACCTGATAAAAGGACACACAGATGAAGGCCCTATATTATAAATGGCAACAGTGTAGTGCAACTTAATACATCACTGTATATTTATTTCTAAGAGGGGACATAAAAAGCAATCAAATACTCAATGATGAAACAATCAAATGACTGACAGTACACGAGCCAGAAGGCTATGGACAGTCATGACATTAAATGCTACACAACATGGACTATACCAAAAAATATTTGTGTGTATGTGTGTGTGTGAAATGTCACAGTACAATTTTTAGTTCCTAATTCTGTCACATGGCTTATGCTATACAGTACATTTTTTTAAAAGCCCCATCCTTGTAGTACTTACAATACTTCTTGTCCTTTTCAGGACAAAATTTTTCATTATTGGAAGCCCTACTCTGGCTCTTGCCAGGGGCCGCAATATAGCCTGGCCATAAATATGGCCTAAAGGCTGAACGTGGTTTCTGGGACCTCATCAGGTGTTTATCGCTTGTGTGATGTCCTGGTGGGGTAGAAAGTCAGTCAGCCCCATCCTTGCTTTTGCCAGGGGTACTAATGTAACCCAAAATATGGCTTGAATGGAGTTTTTGGGACCTTTCCCTGGGTAAACATCATCCATATGGTGGCACTTTGTGTCGCCGGATGCTTATTGCACGGTGTGATGTCCCGGTAGAGTTGAACTTCACTTAATTAGGTATGTCTAGTGTTCTGTGTTTTGCTAGTTGCATAGCTTCTGTTAATGTGGTATTCGTCTTTCCTAAGTATCTCTTTTACTGCCTCCGCCCGTATTTTCCTTGACTGGCCTTTTGCTCTGAAGCTTACTGTTCTCGTGTCTTATACTCTATCTGCTGGCTGATTTTGTTCTATTCTGACAAGATGTTGAAACCATTTGATTATTTGATGTTCTATAAAATCATTTACTGATACTATGCCTACCATTGATTTTAGCTCTTCACTGGTGACTCTGCACCTGCTTGTTTTTTTTCTCTTACATTTCTTATACACCTCAGCTCATATAATATGTACAAGTATTCACAATTTATAATCAAAACAATATATTATAAATGCAAAGTTTTGTTATCAGTCTACTTTAGGTATGATAGACACAAATGCTTGGTAATATGGGTAACAATTACCAACCAGTCATCTTTGCGACCTGTCATTCTTGTGTTAAATCCAAGATTACATAACTGTCTAGAAAGAAGTACTTGTACTGAGATAAGAAATTGGAGTGAATGTTTGTCGCATTTACATGAAGTAGAATCAAAACCTGACACATACACTATTAAAATACTACATATTTATATTATATATTTTATTATATAATATTTATGAGTGCATAACAGGCATGTAAAATTATATCAAATTATATACTCTTGTTAGCTATTATCATCATCATGTGTCATGAGGACAACCCTAAGCAGTTAGGTTCTCAACCTCACATGGTCACCTGAATCAAGTGTCTGTGTTCTAGTCCCAATTGTGCCCTGTAGTAGTAATTTAAAAGATGATATTCTGTTTAACCCCTGTGAGTTTTTAATTGGGATTTTAAAATTTTTTTGGTCAAAATGTCAAAATATTGAAGTTCTTCCTCTGCTAACTTTTTTTTAACATCAAATTTTCCTTCAACATCAAGTTTGCCATAAAAATGAGAGAGGGAGAGAAATAGATAGAAAGAGAAATAGAAAGAGCTGTCGTTTACAAACTATTCATCAATTAACACGTACTGTGAGAGGAAACGGCAATGTTTAATAATGTGTTCATCCCTCAAGTACATGAAAACAGGAGGACATAAGCCTGAGGCTGACCAAATAAGGCATGGGTGGTGAGAGCAAAAGAGACACTACAGAAACGCGATATCAC